GTGAGTGGTGTGAGTCACAAAGTCAACAGGACTGTGTAGGAGCAAGGACCCGAGGGCTGGTACTCTGCATTGTGTAGCCCTTTCCTTCCTTGGAACGTGGCAGTATTTTAGAAATGAACAAAAGCAAAGACCAGGAAGTGATTCGAGTTGTTTCTTTTCTTTTTTCTCCTTCTGTAGTCAATAATGTTTTATTATACACCCACCTTCTGCTGAGGGCTAAAGTTTTGTCCACATCCATGGTATTTCTTGTACATGGAAAGCACTGAGTCTCCTGTTCTTTGTTGATTATGACTTTTCATATAGAACTGTGAGAACCCTGCTTTAAGCAGGAGGTTATACCTGTTCTGGAAGTTAAGTACGGCACTATTACAGCCTTTCATTGTCTCCCATGTACTGGCCCCCTAGCCTTGAAAAATCATATCTGATCAAGTCACAATCCAACTTTAAAACCCTGAGGACTTCAAGTTACCTGCAGGACAAGTTCCAGTCTCTGCCAAGTAATCCCTATCCTCCGTCGACCTTCCATCCTCATTGTCCTCCACCCTCTTCCAAACCCCTTTCATGACAGCCAGTTAAAATTACTTGCGTATTCCAAACCAACCATACAGTTTTTAATTCCTCTGAATCATTTTTTTGTGTCTCCCTGAAATGCCTATTCTACCATTACTCACTCACTTGAATTGCTTAATTTTACCCCCTATTAATCCTTCCCTGATTTCAGCTCGTGCTATAAAATCCAGCTCAGGAATCACTTTCTTTACGAAGTGTTCACAGAATATGGTGCCCCCCCACCCCCACTCTTCCCCACCTCTGTGATAGCACCCAACAATGCCTTCTAAATGTTGTTTCCTTGGATCCTTGATGACTGTGCTCTTTGAGAGTAGGGACCATGTCTTTGTGTCCCAAGCACAGAGCCTAGAATAATATATCTCAGTTGAATGAAACAACCCTCTTAATAAATGTCTGCATACCTCACAAACCATCTTTTTCTGTACAGTTATTTCAACTTATAGCCTTTATTTTATCATAAAAAATAGTTCTCTAGCTCTCAAAGACTGAAGACCACTTGGGAGTTATTTTCGCATAATGTGCTTCGATATTCAACTTTAAGGTTATGAATTTCAATGTGATAATAATTATTAACACCCTTTAATTGAATTCAAACCCCATACCAAGGATGTTACACATTTGAAATTTGTAGAAAATTTTTAAGATAATATTTGACTATACTTTAAATCATAAGTGAAGGAAATGTGTTCCTAGAAGGCTCTGTCCCTGGCATTGCTTTTGACATAAGGAGACCGTGTCTTGGTCTATCTGCTTACGTCGTGATCCTTTCTTTTCTTGAGTTCTTAACTCATGTTTCATGATCTCGGAATACCTCCTCCCGTGTCTCACTAATTCTGTTGCATAAACTTCATTCTGTCCTCGTGCTATGCTGATACCACGGTATCCTGTGTAAACACAAAGCGATTTTTTGTACAGTATAGTCAGGAAATGAGTGAAAAACAAATTTAATCCTCTCACCCATCTGCCTAAAGCCCCTCACTGCCTTACATTGCCCTCAGGATAAATTTCCCCATTTCTTGCCACTCCCCATTGCAGTCCAGGCAGCCCCGTGTTGTCTCTTGCCTTTAAGGCATGCCGGTGCTCTTCCCTCTCCGTGGAATACCTGGTCCTCAGACTTATCCTCACTTGCAGTGCATGCATAGATCCGTGTGGTTTTTAGGTTAGCCTTCAGCTCTCCCGCCAGACTGTACACTCCGTTTAGGGCAAGCATTACATTCAACTTACTGTGGAATGACATGTCACAGACACTCCATAAATACTCTTGCATGAATAAATAAAAAGAATGTATCTTACCCCACTAGGTGTCCCCAGCATCTAACACAGTGCCTGGTACGTAATAAAGCACTCAATATTTATGAATGAGTAAATGTTAGTGATGACTTCTAAAATCATAAAAAATGGCTCTTGCTTTCTTTTCTATTTGAGTATGGCCCTTTTTACTGTTGTGGTTTTCACATGAACTTCCTTACTTGAACCTCTTGCACTGCAGAAAAAAGTGCTTCTGTAAAGTACCACCTCACTGTTCCTTTTTCTATTTTGAACCCTGATTTGAATAAAACCAGTAATGCAGTTAAGTTACCATGTTGTGCTATTTGAAGTAAACAAACAAAGAAGAAACTGCTCCCAGGCTACCAATTTTAAAATAGTGGCATATGAAACACTTATTTCTTGCTATCCAAACAGGAATATTATTATAGCAATATTCTTTTTTTAAATTATGGGGAAGATGTGTTAGTTATTGTTATGTGTGCAAAATAATTTCGTATATATATGCAGAAGCACACATTCAGTGAAACGATGAGAGCTGAAAAGTACTTAGGGCAGACAGGGAACAGCGGTGGATGTGGGGAGGACAGGCAGGGGGCTGTTGAAGAATCCAGAATTCAGGTATTAGTGCTTTAAAATACTGGAACGGAGTTTGAATGAAACCAGTTGCATGGCAGCTGATAGTAAATCCTTGCAGAGCTCAGTCATATGATGGGAGTGCCACAGTAGAAGGTGTTTATGTTACCCTCTGATGAAACATTAGCCTACAGCTGAGAAATAAGAAAAAAACATTTGTCTAGTATAATAACAGATAAGTGATCATACTGACTTTTCAAAATCACGGCTCACTACAAGGGACCTTAAAGCCTCCACATTTTCCAAATATGAGAGCTCAGTTCCAGAAAGGTTAAATAAACTGCCAAGGTCGTTGGGCTTGTTCATTGCTGAGTCAGGATTAAAATCTCGATTTTCTGATTTTCACTGAAATGGCTTTTCATTGTCATTGTAAGATTGCCACAATGCGTTGGATTCTATAAAGGTAGATGAAGCTTGCATGGGTACTGTAGAAAGCTATTTGAGACACTAAAAAGTTTTCTTAGGGGAAGCAAAGATTTATGTCACTATGTGGGTGTTGGCTCAGTGTCGCACGCTGCCACACCTTTTATTTTGTGAGATAAGTGGGAATAAGAAAATAAGATGGCACAGAAACAGATGGTCTGTCCCCAGCTCCTACACCTGGAATAACTTTCCCTTTGACCCCAGCCCTACAAAAGAAGAGCAACCAAAGTTGCCAGCCCGGAAGGTAGACGTCCTGCCTGCTATAACCAGTTTTTCAGACAATTCTTTCCCTGTGCAGCTTCCATCAATCTCTCCTACCCCCCTACCCCCATACACACACCCATTGCTAAGGGTGCTACCTCCAATTTCCGATTCCCTAAAAGTCGAGAGGGGAAAAGATGAAATTTCAATATTTTAGAAATGAAACTATTCCTAAGTCATTGTAGACTATGAGAAGTGATTCCCCACCTTCATGATTTTTTTTTTTAAAACATCCATCTAAGCAAGTGCCACCAGATAGCAAACTGAAGTAGGATATAATTCTTTGAAAGGTAAATGCAGACATCCATTTTTGCAGGGATTATATATATTCATGTCTGGAAAACCCAAAAGAATGAACTGAAAAACTTTTTTGAAGTTTTAGAAATGCATTAAGAAGGGTTTCTCACCATATTAGTATGCTAATGACCTACTTTCCCAAGAGAGGGCTGGAATGTGAGGGGTTTCCCCGAATTGTCTGACCTGCAGTAGAATTCATTTGGGAAACTGTGTCTGGTGATTCTGCCTACATGAGAAGGGTCTGTCTGGCCATTTAAAGGCAAATGACCTAGCGGGCTTATTTCCACATGGCACATACTACACATATCAACGTATGTGTGTTGATGCCAAAGAAGCTAAAATAATTTCGTGTCAAAATATTTATGGGCTTGATCAAAGCTGTTAGAGTATGTGAAAAAACCACACACACACACACACACACACATACACACACACAGAGCTACCACATGTTTCTTATATTTTCAGATCCTATCTATCTTCTGATGATATGAATGACAACCATAATCTTCTATTCAAGCAGTTTACATGTTTCACATAATGTGTTGCTGGGTTTCATAAATAAAATTCATGTGTGGTTTTTTTTTTTTAATTAAGCAACACCATACTGTTGCTTTCAATCAGATTGGTAGATATATCTTCCTAGCATTGCTTGAGGTTATCAACAAATCTGTAAGTTTGCTAGTTAACAAATCTAAACTAGACTGAGCCAATCTCTTTCTGATTGGGCATGCTTTATGTCATTCAGTACATGTATATTGTCTCCTTGAGTCCCCTTTAAGTGTAATATGCTGCAGCGATTGGGGCCCTATCACTTGAAATGTTTTAAGAAGAGGTATTTCTGTGTCTGGCAGTAGCTTTTTGTCAAGAATGTTTCTAGGTGATCAGTTTAAAGTTAACATCTCAGTAAGTACTGCTGCCCTCTGGCATGGCAACTCTGTGAATAATTCCTTGACACTGTCATAGCTACTAAGCACTCACCACTGGGCTCAGCTTAGCACACATCCTTATTTGAGTGTATTCTACATAGCACATTCAGATTCTGTAAACCTGCATGCATACCATTAATGCTGCGTCCTCAGAATGCCCTCGAAGAAACCTGGGTGTTTGCTTAAAATGCTTTTTAATGAACATAACTTTCTAAATTTTGACACCTACTTAAAAGGAAGATCTGTTGATCGTTCTCTCGCTATGAAAAGTTCTGATGTTGAGGACACTATAATAAAAGAAAGAATATATTTGCCTGCTAATCTTCAACTGTCAGTCTTCCCCTTTATTTATAAAATCTAAATGTTTAGAGTTTGTGAAGAGGAATGAAAGGTCATCTCCACTGTGTATGAGAAAGAAAAGGAAAAGAGAACATTTGGGAAGGGTAGCAAGCCAGTGGGTGCTGAGAATAGAACAGTGATGATTCCTTCTCCTGGTGAACTATGGAAGCATGGCTTCCTTTTCTGTAGTTGCTTTGGAAATGGCAACAACAGTGCTCTGTGTGTGTGTGTATTGACAGTTAAAATAACTCAGTAAAATGATCTGTTTCCTCCCTATCCAAGGATTTCCTGCTACAGATATTTACTGTGTTCCGAATATTGATACGCCCAGAGATGTTTCCGAAGGACTGGACTGTTATGCGCTTGGTGGCTAACAAGTAAGACATTTAAGTTGACAATGATTGCAGCTTAGTATATGGATGAGAGGAGATACAAAAATGATTTTTCTAGTTTGATCTCAAGTTTGAAATCTTCAAATCCTGGGATTCTTTTTCTTTGTCTCTGAATTAACTTCTCTCATTTAAAAAAAATACATATTACTATTTGTTTTAAACAGGTGATACATTTAACACAGTTCAAAAATCAAATAATATAAGAAGAGTGTACATTGAAAAAACCCCTTCCCATCTACTGTATTTATCCCTTACCCCCAGCCTGTAGTTACCACTTTTATTAGCATCTTGCGTGACCTTCCAGTGTTCTTTTATACAGAGCCTGGCAGGTAGCATAATATATACACTATTTTGCACTTTGCTCTTTCACTTAAAAATCCTGGCAGTCTTTCCACATTAATACATAGAAAGCCCCTCATTCATTTATGTTTCTTTTGCTCTTTTATGGGCATATAATGTTCTATTGAATTGGTGTACCATCATTTATTTAACCAGCCCTGTTGCTAGACACTTAAGTCATTTCTAATCTTTCTTAATTCATTTTAACTCAGCAGGATACATTAAGCATCTACCATGTGCTCAGCACTGGGGATAAGATATGACCCCTGAGTTGGATACATGAAGATTGAAGTTCCTTTTATACAGCCAAGGGATATGGCCAGTAGAGAGCTGAAAATAATGCTCTCAGCAAAATTTGGAACTAGAGAAGACATTTGGAGAGATATTGACATAAAGTTGAATCTCTGGAAGTTGGCAAAACTAGCTTGTATTAGGCATATCCAGGAAAAAAAAATAAAAGATCTTAGTCAGTACTTGAAGGAGTAGGAGCCAGGAAAGGAGATTAGGCAGCTGCCAGAATGGCAGGAGCCTTCCCAGAGAGTAAGTATCATGGCAGTGTCTGCTCTCATGCTTCCTGTCTCTGTCATCTCAGGATACAGAATGCAGGTGAAGTTCTTGAGGAAACTGGCTGATGTTTACTTCCACACTCGTAATTTACCCTGTCTCATAAACATTCTTTCCTTCAAGTCTACATTTGCCTGCTTCTCCTTCCTCCTTTTGTCCAGCCCCGAACACCCTCATATTCAGGATAAAGGTTGAATTCTCCAGGTATCTATCCATAGACCAAAGACACCATATGTCCTCCCCAGATGCCAGGTATGGTGGTGGTAAGAGCCCCAGGAATATAGGGTTGGATTTTGATAAGATATGCCTAATATGGCTTCTGCTGCAGTATACATTTATAGATGTGGAGGTGTTAAAACGATGTGTTAAAACTTGTGAAGTAACAAATAGTATAATATGGCATATTATATTTTACATAAGTACAGAAGCAGCTTTTCCATGTTCAAGACTAATTGAAACTCCTGAAATAGCTCTCTTTAGAATTTAGCATATTTAGTTTGATATCTGTGAGTAGAATCAAATATCTTTTCATCTGGATGTCCGGATGCTATAGATTTAAAGGGAGCAATTGGTCATGAATCTGGCGTTATTACCAAAGATCTAACATTCTGCAGAGGGCTATGAAGTGGTCCAGGGAGCCAGCCGGGAAGAGGTCCAGGCTGCTGACATCTGCATCACACAACGTCATCATGTGGTCATTATGCCTGCCCTGTGCGTGGAGGGATATTTTGACTTGAATTAGAATATTCAATGGCAAAAATTCAAACCAAAAATAAGTTTGACATTTTGTTTCTTATGCACACAGGCTCTGCTTGAGCTTCTTGAAAACCGTGACCACAATGTGGCTTTTTAAAATTAAACACCATCTCTCTCTCTCTCTACGTAAAAATCTCCACTCCATTTATGAAAACTCATGGTCACACAAATGGGTAACAGACTTAGAAGTATAGATTCTGCTTTTGAGTAAACACATGATGTTCAAGATTTTCATCTACAGTGTTAACCAAACAGGAGCATGGGTTAGTTTAAGATGAGTTCTGTGTAATACATTTAAACAGAAGATACTCCCAAAGCAAATCCAAGAAAAAGGCCATCAGCCTTTGCTAAATGCAGTACCATCACGCTCTTGCCACTCAAGTCAGTGCTGATAAGAAATGGGCACTGTTTTTCCACCGGCAATGGCAAGTCCGTCCCAATTTGGAGAGAGGACTCCAGGGTCTGGTAGAGAACACCCCAAGTTGGAACAGACACTGCCCTCTGCTCTTCTGCTTCCCGCTCTTCTCCCCATGCAACCACCGTAGCCATTTCCCATTCAAATTATGAAACCAAATGAGATTTTTCTTGCCTTATGAATGCAATATATTCCAGAAATAAGCCTTCAACTATTTCTTTTCTATCCATAAAAAAGATTAGCCACTATAATATTGGTAGAAAAGTCCATTTCTGAAAGATGTTAAACACATTTGAAATATGTTAAAGGGCAGGGGCACCCAGGTAGCTCCATCGGTTGAGCATTCAAGTCTTGACTTTGGCTCAGGTTGTGGTCTTGGGTTCGTGGCTTCAAGCCCTGCCTCGCTCCGCTCCGTGCTCAGCAGGGAGTCTGCTTCCGTCTCTCCCTCCCCCTTTGCCCCTCCCCCTGCTCGTACTTGTGCGTGCTCTCGCGTGCTCTCTCTCAAATAAATAAATAAATAAAATCTTTTTAAAAAACGTTAGCATACATTGGGAAGAAAACATGACCACTTTGCTAAACTATGTAGACGCAAGTTGCAGGAGCTAGATCCACGTCTCTGAAGTTGACCACCTTTCTTCCATGTTGCTAACTTTCTTAGACAAATATTTGATCAGGGCCCCTCAAAGAGGCATTTTTACCCAGACTCCCACTTTTACTACCTACTATGTGCCTAATACATGTCAACTTGATAGTAACTAGGTGAGAAGTCACCACTGCCCTACCTTTGAGCTCAGCTGTATTCAGCTCATCCCTCAAAATATGTATTCTTTGATGTGTTGGTCCTTTCTTCCTGTGTTTTCAAGTAAGTTAAATGCCTTTAACTTTCATCTATAAACTATGTTGTCCCAAATCCTGTAGCTTCCCTGCTTTATCTGAAGTCCTACTAAAAGCTGTGACCAGACACTTGGTGATTAGTATGGTCTTATGTTTATTTCCACCTGAATGTCTAATATCGGGTGACATGGTAAGGGCGTCCAGCCTAACTTGCACAAGGATGAGACATGTGTCTCTTGCTTGTGTGCAAAGTTGTATTGTCCCCACTGTTAAGTTCTTGGTAGATGTTTCTGATGAGAACAACTGCTCAATTTGAGAAAGAAGGAACATAAGGGAGATGAAAATTAAGTACCAAAAATACAGGACACTTTGAGACAAGCTTCTCTCCACCCCCTTCCCATACACATTGCAAAATATAGTACAAAAATAAAGTCACAGCTTTATACATTTTCAAAGAGATAAATCTTGTAACAGACTTGCTTACTGAGGGAAGTAAAACCTTCTGGCCTTACAGTTGACATTTCAGGCCCTTATTTTGTTTATCTTGTGTGCATGTTGGCTTCAAACATAGCATACATTTTTTTATGTGTGCTTTTTCTCACCAAACACTGAATTATTTAGTTGACTAGTACCTTCAAGTAATTTAGTTTTCAAATGAGATCAGTGTAGCAAATAGGTGATTTATGGAACCAAAGATTCTTAGGGAAGGTCATTCATTCATTTACTGACCCATCCACTCAGCAAATCTTTTTCAATACCTAAAGTATAAAATAAATGCCATAAAGATAGAGCAAAGATAGTTCTTTGAAAATGTTTATGAAAGGAACTTTGTTCTGAACTGGGATTGGAAGGCTCTTTCATTAGGAAGTGAAACTTGAGCTGAAAGCCAAAGCAGGAGTTAACAGGCAGACAGCAAAGGAAGAATGTTCTTATCAGCAGAAATAGCTTATACAAAGGCCCTGTGGTCAGAGTGAATATGGCACATTCAAGAAACTGAAAGACTATTAGTGTGGCTGGAACATGAGGAGAGAAGGAGCCAGTAACAATGAGGTTAGAAGAGGAAGACAGGGCCCAAATATTAGGGCGTAGAGAAACATTAAGAGAAACCAAGAAGGGGGCACCTGTGTGGCTCAGTTGGTTAAGTGTCTGCCTTCAGCTCAGGTCATGATCTCAGGGTCCTGGTATCGAGCATCACGTGGGCTCCCTGCTCAGTTGGGAGTCTGCTTCTCCCTCTGCCCCTTCCCCCCCCCACTTGTGCACACGCTCTCTCTCTCTCTCAAATAAATAAAATATTTTTTAAAAAAAGAGAGAAACCAAGAGGGACCAGTTAGAAGCTTAATACAGCAATCCAGCTAATGGCTCAAACAGGTAGATGGCAGTGAAGGTAGTAAGAAGATCGATTTTGAAGATTGAGATAACATAACTTGCAGATGACTGGATGTGGGTGGCAGAGAAAAAATGGAAGATGGCCTTTAGAATTTTGGCCTGAACAGAAGGATGAATGGTGGTGCCATTCACTTTGGTGGGGAAATGCTGAGAGGAGCAGCTTTGGGGGTGGGGAAGGTGAAGAATCTTATGTGAAACAGAAATTTGAAATACTCTTCGATATCTTAGTGGAAACATAGAAGAGGAAGCTACCCCTGCTTCTGTGGAGCTGAGGGAAGAGGTTAGGGCTGGAGGTGTGCATTTGAGGGTCATTGGATGATATGGATGATATTTGAAGCCATGGCACTGAATGAGAGCACCTGGAAGAGAGTAGATTAAAAAGAAAAAAGTACTCAGCACTGGGCTATAGAGCATGCTGCCATTTTAAAGGCCAGAACATGGAGAAGCATCCAGCAAAAGAGACTGAAAAGGAGCAGCCCATGATTTAAGATGAGAATCAGCAGAGTATACTGTCCTGTGAAGAAGTTATTCCATGAAGGTAGAAGTATCAAGAGCTGTTGGGAGATTGGAGATGATGAAGACTGACAGTTGCCCCCAGATTTGGCAGTGTTGTGTAGATATTGATGACCATGGCATGTGCTCTTTCAGCGCAGCGATGGAGGAGAAAGCCTTATTAGAGTGAATTCAAGAA